TACTTAGCATTTGACTGTTGCCCATCCCCAATTCTTCCCCCTCACTGCTCATTCTGCTTTCTTTTGGCTCTGTTGTTAAACATGGCAGCGAGGTAGAAATAGTTCCTCCCCCTTTTGCCCCCCCTTCCATTTGAGGGGGGGTTTGGGGGGGTGTTCGTTTTAACTGCTTTCCCTTAATTGTGGGGAGGGGAGGACTTCTCCTAACAGTGCTCATTTCCTCAGGGACCCTTTCCAGTCTTTCTAATCTTGAAAGCGATCTGTCCGAAGGTTTGGAACGCAACCAAAGAGGATTTGGTTTTGAGGTGTCCTTACTTTGTTTATTCTTTCTCATTCAACCTCAATTTCACTCCTCCTGCTTTCATCAATTTTTTTAATTGCTTTGTTTTCCCGTTCTACACAGCACACAGTACAAAAAAGTCCCACTCAGTTATGCCTTGCAATGCCAGGAGGGTTCGCCTTTAATGTAACGAGACTGGCTCGATCCTTCTTCAAAGGAGGAATCTGCCTCTAATATTTATTTTGCCTTCCGGATCATTAAGTCATTAAATCCAATATTTTAGTATTTTAATATTGTATTTAAATTGCAGCTGTTTATCTTCTCCAAGTCTTCTCCAAGTCAGTGCGCAGTTATAATTGGCAATTTGGTTTCACTTTCGACAGCAGCTTCCAAGCCATTTTTCGGCAGTCGCCTTATCTTCTGCCAAAGCTCATAAATCAAAGCAAGTAATTGGTAATAAATTACCTTCTTAGGCTCTGCACGTGCACCAGACTTCCGCCTCCCCTTTGATCCAGAAAGGACAATTATCCATTCATTTTCACTGCTTTTTTGCTATATTTCCACAAGAGCTGGAGGAAAGACGTCTTCAGACAGTTCCAGTTGCCTCAGTTTCTATCTCGACTTTCTCCTACTTACCCACTGTTCCGTCTTCCAGGAGCTTGGTTTGCATTGCCTCTTAGTTGCATGAAATAGCATCCTTTTGCATTTCCCCAGGGTTGCTACAGTCTCAGCAGCACCCTGAAAGTTAACCATTAACAGGGGCTTAAAGCCAGCCTGCAAAGCCTTTTGCTGTTATTGGCTTTAAAAAGTATCTCTTTGGTCCAGAGACCGCCCTTTTTCCTGGGGATGAGATCTCCATTTTGGAGAAGCTCTCCTGCCTTCTTCAGTTTAGAAAAAGCCTCAGGTGTGCTTGTGGTCAAGCTAGGCAGCTTGGACAGGCCATTGTGAGATTTACCCTTTTGCCTTTGAAACTGGTGCTGAGCTCAGATAGGGGAAGACCTGCTCTTTCTAAAGATAGCAGCTCAGCGCTGGGGCAGAGAATATCTCAGGATTTCTCTGCCATTGGGAGAGGCTCTATTACTTCATCCCCAAACTAAACTTGAGCTTAGATAGGGAAAGGCCTGGTCTTTCTAAAAATAGCAGCTCAGAATCCCGGGATAAAGAATCCCAGGATTTTTCTACCATTGGAGAAAGTTAACTCAGCAGCTGAAGAAAAAAGGAAGGAAGGAACATTTATATAATTTCACAAGTCGACTGTTTGTGTTTGTAACTTCTACAAGCTGTGCCAAGTCTGTCAAGG